TTCATAGGCCAGCACGCTGGGCTGGGAGTGAGCTCATGAGCTCACAGCCTCCCCAGTGCCAGCTGCTGGCTCGGCTGGGACATGTAAAGGGAGCGAGGGAGAATGCATGTGGGAGGAGGGAGGCACGGGGAGGGGGGCAGAAAGGAGAGAGGATGTTAGTTGCTAACATTTCATGTTTAGATTTAGATCTGCCAAAATCATGTTGGAGGTCTTGGTGTTTACACCTCTGCAGTAAAGGGTGGCAGGCTTTGCATTGTGTGAGACTGCTTCACTCCGGGCTGACATTTGGAGTTACGGCTGCCTGGTAGGGGCAACTCAGAAGGAGCAGTGTGCTCTGAGGAAGGACATTTCTATTTCGCAATAGACCAGCAGCTGCCTCTCTTCTCAGTAAGATACTGGAGTGGTACCTAGGGCTAGACCAGGGCTACTTATCAAAGCCAAGACAAAGAGCCAGCAAGGAGTATAAAGATTACTGCTATTTATTTATAGCAACCACACAGGTTTGGGAACTATCCATTTTAATAGCCACACCTCAAACACAGACACTTTCACATTTATAACTATTTGTTTTTACACCTCTCCTTAATGCAGACACTCATCTCCCTAATAATTGAGTTAGCTTTATACACTTCAGCAGCCTGACCAACTTAAAATTGCTTTAGCATCAGGGCTTCTGTTACAACCAAAAAATCAGTTTATCTGAATTAAGATGGTTGTGGCTGCAACCACTGTGACCATCTGAGCTGAGACGTGCAAAGTGGCTTGTTCTGTGCTTGTGAATACCATGTTTTGTGGTACTGTTCTGGGGACAGGTGAGAAGGCACCAAGAGCTTCATTGTATCAGACCCTGTGTTAGGGTGTTTAAGGCAGAAATATAAAAGCAGAGAGCCCAGGAACACAGTTCACCTCAGCTTTGTATGACCAGGCCCTGCTAGTATCAACAGTAAGTGATGCTGAGGGATATAAATGTTATTATGAGGCACTGCACTGTAGTGCCTCATAATTCACCATACCCTGCTCTGCCCAGATGCTGGCTTGGTGCCAAATCTGTACCAAACAGTCATGCCATGCCTCAGCATCTCTTCCTGGAGTAACACAAGCAGTGTGTTAACTACTGCAGCCTCCCCGTCCTTCCTCTAGATCCCAACCATCCTTTACAGCAAAGACACAGGAGCAGAGCAAGACTTCCCCCTGTATGTGGTCAGCACACACTGGAAGAAAGGGACACCATGAATTAAAATCCTACAGCAGAAGGAAAGACTCCAACTGTAATTTTAAACAACAGCCTTGAATATAGTGCAAAATCCCCAAAAGGCAACTCCTGTGTGTCCTACCACTTATTCTGACCACTTGGGACATGGCAAAGGGACCTGTGGCACCCCTTTGTTAGTGCTTGTAGACATTCCTCCAAAAATGTTAACATCTTGAGAGCTGGCAGTATTACTTCTGATATCTTGGAAGAGCAAAATGATAATCACTTGCCAGCAGTTCAAAACCACTCCAACATGGTGATCTTAACAGACCCCTGATGAAGTTGTGGTTCTCTTCCCAAGCTGATTTTGCCATGTACCTCTGTTCAATGAAGAGCAGTATTGACACACAGTCTCCCAAAAGAGGCTGCTGCAAAGCCAGAGGCCTCCAAACATCAGTATCACAAGCACCTCATGTTTAAACTTCAGTGCATTGATGTGTCTTCAGTGTAGGTATGTTCCACAGTTCTCATCTTCTGGGGAAACCAAGACCTGCTCTAAACCCACCCAGTGCATGCAGCAAGGCTAAAAGGAGCTGCTAGCTGCACCTCTGGGAGGAATTGCTGGAGGAATGGCACCAAATTCCCGCCCACCTCCCTGACATGGGAGGCTGCCTCCACAGCTGCAAACCCAAATGGGCTCTCAGAGCCTCCACGGCCCAGCAGCTGTACTGGCTATTTTCTGCTGAACCAGGGCCTCAGTATTTTCAGACAGAAAAAAAGCCTTCTTGAACTCACACACACTCAAAAGGCCTGTGTGTAAACTGAACTTTGTGAACCACTAGTGGCATTTTTCCTTGCTATATATATTACCAGGGGGAAAAATGGGATTTTAATAGGTTTGTTTTCAACCTACTTTAAACTCATGAAGATATGAGGCCTTATGTCATCGTTATAGTTACTACATGTGATCCTGTGTGTGTTGTGAGGAAGCGAGCTAGGAACGAGTACTGGATGAACTCAAAAGCTTGCAACTCCTCTGCCAAAGCAAAGTCTGTCACAAGTTGCTAAATACATAACCACGCAAGTTAAAGAGACCCACACACTGATAAGCCAGTATTTCAGGGTGATGAGCCTGCTGTGCACCAGCTATGAATCAAAATCTTGTCTTTAATCTTTCTTCTTCTGCTAAGGGCTTTCTGCATGGATTTGGAGTAAGTCACTATCTGAACTTTTATTAACCCCTTTCACTCCTCTTCCCCCTGAATTGAGATCTGTAGATTGGACCTATTTACTTTGTCCAAGGCTGGAAGTATAAACCTGCTGATGATTGTGAACTGCTTAGATACCACAGTAATCACACATAGCCAAGTTTTATAAAACTATACTGTCAGGCCAATATTTTACACTAAAATTATTTGGGGGTGACAGAATTAGAGACAAAAGCATTCATGTATGCTGGCACAGAAATCCCAGCTTTGGGCAGAAATGTATCCGATCCATATGGAAGTCTGTGAAAGCAGCAGGCATGTACCAGGTACAGCATGCAGTTTCCTCAACACAGAGAAGACATCATCAACTCATGTCTTTTCTCCTCTTTACTATATATATTTAAGTTTTAATGTAAGCTTTCTATTATTGTGTAGCTTTAGAAAGACAGGCTTGTCAGCTGCTCTGACAAAGCAGCTTTTCACTGAATGAAGTTGCTGGACTGGCATCTTGATACAGACTACCTTCTTTAGTCGTACTGGATGTTGGGATGGGGCTCCCGTGGGCAGTCTCTGACATGCACCAGTTCCCCAAACATGCTGAAGTGTGATGGGGATAGTGGTAAAGATTTTATTAGTACCACGGGTCTGACTAAAAGGGAAGTTTTGCCAAGACCAGATATATCTGTAAAGATAGCCTCATTAAAACACCCTGTGTGAACTGAGGGTCCTTTGAATCAGGCCAAGAAGATCTATTTCTAGGTGCCTCAAAAACTGCCCTGGAATTCAAAATGAAGATCTGACTTTTCAAAAATTGTGAAAAAAAAGCTTACCTCAACTTTCTCTATATACAGCTTCACACTGAAATGTTTTTCTTAGTGTAACAGGAACACCTTAATTCGCTGTTTGTTGTAAACTGTCCAGTTTACCTGTGTTTGCAGTCAGCACATTCAGGCAGAGTGGGGTACCACAAAGCCACCTTAGTTAAGGTTACACTGAGCTAACACATACTCACATTAATAGCAACAAGACCAGAACAAGGGCTCAAATAAACCGTGCATATGTACACAAGTGCTAGGCTCACTTTCACACTTTCCAATGCTCATTATAAAAAAAAAAAAAAAAAAATTAGTTGCATGCTAACCAAATGTTTTGTCTGAGCACTAGATCCTCACTTTGCAACCTACTTGAGCAACATTTTAAAGCTGTGTTCTGAACTAATTACTATTCAAAAACAGGACTGTGTTGGTAGTAAGAAATGCACTTAGCTGGCATAAATTTGACTAGCTTGTGTTTATATCAGGGAGATGACAAGCATGAAGTCAGTCTGTGGGAAGAGTCTCATCCTTCAGGGTATCAGCTTTCTGGAAATGGCGCTGTTTCCTACAATTCTCATGGAATTAATTTTTTTACTGATTTCAGGCCTAACAAAGATATAAGACTGGTTAAATGCTGATTCCCTAACTCAAAGCTATATACAGATCTAAAAAGGTGCACTAATTCAGGCAGCAGTCATTCAATTAAGTATAGGAACAACATGGTTAAAAATTACAGCTTCAGTCTATGCGACTTCAGTGAGATTGTCTTACGAGTTGCTCTTTACAACAAGGAAGCATGTCTGAGGTCATGTGAGACCAAAGCACATGCTCACGCTGCAAGAAGAAGTTTAATATAGGGAATACACAACTTTACAGAAACCCATGCTACATTTCTGTATATGCTCTGCACCTCCCTGGGAGATGCCTGCACCTCCTGGGGTCAGGCTCTTCACCAACGGTTTCAAATAAGCAATCCCCAGAAAGTACTCTAACCCTGGAGACTGTACTTGGCTCGTGGCTGGTACCATGCAAGTTAAGCTAAGGAAGAGATTATTTGAATCACGGAGTCCTTTAGAAACCACTAGACCAGTGATCCCTCCAAACATCCAGTATTTTATCCATCATTAAAGTTACTTAAGAGCCATGCTGACATCACAGCATCTTTCACAACTGGCTGTAATGATCTTAACCAAATTAATCGCTTGAGTTGTCTGGGACAGCAAAAGAAACCCAGGTTATCTCAAAAGCAGTGGCTGAGAATTACATGTTATTCTTTTCCACCTTTAGTTCGAACAACTCTTTGTAGCTATTTGAGTGCTGTAAACCACAACCAAGGCAAGCTGCGGCAGCCTGGCTCTCCATCCCACCCGAGGTGGCTGAGGCAGCGTGTGCCCTCTGTGCTGAACGGGGCACGTTTCCCCACCCGAAGGCCGGCGGGAGGGTCGGCACCCCGAGGAAGGGGGTCTGGCCGGTAGCGATGCCCGGCCCGGAGCACTGCCCCGCGGGCGCCGGGCATCCCCCCACCCCAGCGCCGGGCGATGCCGTGGCGCCTCGGCCCCGGCACCGCTAAAAATAAAGCCCGTCTCCGCCTGCCCGCCCTCGGGAATCGAGGTTGGATCAATGGTTTTCTTTTAAAGCAGGATTTTATCAATCGCCCCCCACCCCCGCCAACCCGCCTCTGAACCGCCCAGCCCGGACCACAGCCCTGCGAATAACTTCAGCGCCGGGATCGCCGGCGGGCGGGGGGACGGGGCCGAGGATCCGCGGGCAGCGCTCGGCACTCACCTGGCCGGCGGTGTCGTACAGCCCCAGCAGGTACTGCTTGCCCCCGACGGTAACGCTGACTGCGAGGGAGGAGAAACACAGCGGGTGAGGGGGGCAAGCCCGGCCGACCCCTCTGCCGGCCCCCCCGACAGGGCAAGGCCAGGGGATGGAGGGAGGAGGGAGGGGAGAGCGCGGCTGCCGCCCCCGGCGGTAGCGGGACCCCCCGCCCGCTCACCTGCGTAGTGGTCGAAGACGGTGGGCACGTACTCCTCGGGGAAGGCGTCGTTGGCGTAGCTCATCAGCAGGCACGTCTTGCCCACGGCGCCGTCCCCCACCACCACGCACTTCAGCATGACCGCCGCGCTGCCATGGGCCATGGCCGGAGCCCGCCCTCATGGCCCCGCGGGCGCGCCCCGCCGAGCCGGGCGCCCCGCGCGGAGGCGGGCGGGCGGCGGGGCTGCAGGGCCGGGGCCGCTGTGCGAGAGCGGCCCTCGCCCCGGCCCCGCTGCCCGCGCACGCATGCACGGCAGCAGCCGGCGCTTCCCCGCCCCGCAAGTTACTTGGGCGCTGCGGGCACCCCCTGCCCCGCGCAAGCAGCGGGGCCGCGTTGGTTCCGTGGTGATCCCCCACCACCGCCCTGTGCGTACAAAGGAAACTCCGGTAGCATCCTCTGGTATTAGCCCCTAACTGTGCCGGTAAGTGTGAAAATAATCAACGGGGTGCGAAAGGATTTTGTTCTGAGCTGAGTTTGTTGTCTTTGGGTCTAAATTCAGTAGTGGGAACAGATTTAAGAACACCAACGTGTGTCATTTGAACAGGCTTGAGTACCCGTTTGCAAGGTTAAAGGACCAGAGGACAAGACCTAGAAAGAGATGCTGCATGAAAAATGAGTGAAATCATGCTCCCACTAGTGTCAGTGGCAGAAGTCCCACTGTTCAGTGGCACTAGACTGTCACCTTAGCAAGCTGTTTCTAACTTCACATTTTCAAATGGTGTGAAATACGTCTGCAGTCAGACAGAAACAATTGCCTTTTTTAGTTTACAATTTTTCCAGATTTATGCTGTAAGCCCTATCCAATTACAACAAAAACGGCACACAACAGTGCAAGCCACGAGGAGACCTCTGTGTTGTTAGTTTGTGTTTCTATTTGATCTGACATGCTTCAGGGAGAAAATAAATGCAAATCCCACATTGCACAAAGCTTATCTGAATATTCAATGAAACACATTTCCAAACCAGGACAAAATACAAAAGTTATTACTTTGCAAGTTTTTCAGCTTAGTCAATCAAGCTTTCATGCCTTCAGACCACAGAGGGTGTGAGCAGGACATCCAAGACTGCTTGCTCTGGTGCAATCTCATGACAATTCATCCAGAGAGCATTAAACCCATGAAGAGACAGAAGTTGCCCCAGGAGGTATTTCCTCAGCCCTTGGAAAATGCCAGCTATAAAAGAAAGCTGGATTTACCGAGAAGTCAGTCAACTGGCAGCCAGCGCAGGACTCAGCACACAGGTCTCCCAGACAACAACTTTTCCTAGCGAGCCAATATGTCCTGCAGGAGCAGCTGTTTCAGGATGGATTATGGCACCACATCCAGGAAAACTGCTTTAGAGGTTTCCAGGTATCCTTGAGGGACTTGAAATCATGCAGATACTCAGTGGCCCAGGTGACATCCACTTCCCTTTTGCTTGCCAGTGTATACATTTAGGGGTACACAACACATCCTTGAGCAACAGCAGCCCAGGCTGCCATCTGCACAATTGATGGGAAGTATACTTCCTCCACTCTGCTGCTTGCTTAATTGCTAGTGTTGCTTCCCAAATCCTGTAATCACAATTTTGAACTTGCACAATCTCAGCCAAATGATTCTCATCCAGTCCTCCATCTTGCTCAGACAATGCATAGCCAATTGGTCTGCACTAAATATTTAGAGAGAATGAAGATACAGAACCGGCAAACTGAAACACTCACCTTGGCTCTCTCCTCACTAATTTGGCTGGTTGTACAGCCAGGGAATCACATAGCTGGAAGGACTGGGACCTTGAAAAACCTAACAAGAGTCCTAAGAAGAGTGATATGGCTCTATGGAAACACCCATAGGGGTGTAGGACTGTTGGTTGCAGATTAATTTTCCAGCCAGCACCCACAGCAGTGGGATAAGTAGGGTGCAGCTCTAAGGAGAATACACATTTCAAAAGTTCCTGGGAATTTGTTTATTGTCTTAAACTTCTCTGGCTTTCAGCAGCTCCTCAAGAATGTGTTAGGATCTGCTCTGTGTCAACCAACTGCCTCAGTGAAGGTTTTCAATTCACTGTATCGGCACAATGGATACCTTATCACATCCTTCTTTCACACAGATTGACAATCTCTTCTGTGTAATATGCTTTCATTTTTCAGCAGCACAAATATAGTGTTAAAATAATTGTCTATAATAAATATTATTTTAAATATCTTTTTAATAAAGACACTCAATCTAGTTCTATTTTCCCCTAACTTCTTTCATAAGGTCATAAAATAAATCAGTATGAAATGTTAAAAAGAAATTCTTATCATCTTAATGATACTTAAAATGTATTTTTATTCCTCATTGTTTGCTATAAAGTTGATAGGAAATGAGAAAACAGTTCCATCTAATTTTTCACAAAAGTGTTATGTTCTGACTAGCTCTAGGCTATGTGCTGAATGGTTACTTTAGTATCACATATGAGTACTAAACAGCCCATTTTTTCATTTAAGGAATTAAAATTTTGCTTTGTAGGATTTCTGTAAGATTTCTATATGCATATGAGGCTGAGCACTCATTGGGAGGAAGAAATGTAACTAGATTACCCTCAGAAAGAAGTCCTGTTCCAAATAATTCAGGTCAGTAATGGGGGAAAGTGTGTAGAGGAGAAGGTCTAATAAATGATGGGAAGCCTATGAAGACACAAGTAGAGGAGAAGGTCTAATAAATGATGGGAAGCCTATGAAGACACAAGTCTAGTGAAACTCCATAATGATTGTGCAGCTGAATATTTCTTGGAAGAAATTCCTGGAGTACCCAGACTTTTCAAGAGGGAACATGGCACAGGACAATGAAGCAGGATCAAAAAATCCTTCATCTGTGTTACCAGCAGCAGGGATCATAGAAGAGAAAGGAATGGAGCCAGGCCTCAGTACAAGCAGCAAAAGACCTGTTTGGTCTATGGAACCAGGGAATAAGTGGTATTAATCATGTAATCAACACATTTTGAAATGACAGGTCTGTCCAAGTCCATTATTAACATGTCTATGAATTTAACCTAGAAATGTACACAGTATTGTTACTTTCATCAACTGTGCTGCCACTCTGTGCACTCTGTGTTGCGAGTGCACTCCAGCAAGTCTCTGTCCCAATTCTCCTGTTCAGCTGCCTTGCTTTGTCATGGTTTGTTGTGCATCACTAGTGTGTGGCCATACATCTCGCCACAGAGGTGGACATCTTTCCATGCTGGGTGAAACGACTTCATGGAAATAGCCAATATTTGAGGAAACACCACTAAAAATGCCAAGTCCCAACCAAAGCTCTAAGCGATGTATGAAAAACACCCAAATTACTCCCATGAAGTCCATCAGGGGATTAATTTCTTTCTAGGCCTGTGGAAGATTGGAGCCATGGTTTTCTAGTTCTCTAAAAAGCCTTCTAGACTTACAAGGAACGTTAAGTCTTTAGGAAAGTCAGTGGAAAGGGCGAAGCCATCTGAAAGCCCTGTTTGCACCATATTGTCTTTCAGACCAATCAATCTCTCATCCTCAAGCAGAGATGTCCCTAAGCAGAAGGTTACACCTGAGTGAATATAACACAAGCCTAGTTTTTAGTCAGAATAATTTACTGTTTTCATAAGTGGTGAGAACACCACTTTTACAGTTTATGAATCATTACAGTTTTGCTTTTCTGCCCAAGATTAGGTAATGCCGAGAATGTGTCTGTACCTCAGCTAATACAGAGAAAACAAATCAGATATTTCTAACTTGCCAAAAAAGGATAGGCAATTTGATAGTTGCAGATCTAATTCCTTCTGAATGTCAGTTTCCACTCTAATTTCCTCTCAATTTAAAGGGTCACAGCTGTGAGTTTGCCTTCCTCATGTTTTTCAAGACCATGGTGATATCTCCAAGCAAGGGCAAGCACTACATGAAATCAGAATGACAGGATGACACATTTTAGGTTATCTGCTAGAGCACACTGGCTCTTTAGTGTACCTGTAGTGGCCTCCTTCTCTGAATGGGGGTGAAGGTTGCAAACAGGGGAAACATCGCTCGTTCTCTTCAGGGAGCAAACTAGCGTGCTCCCCTACCTGGAAAGCTCAAGCACAAGTCTGGTCTCATTCTGTTATGCTGGTGCAGCTTGTGATTCTTTATTAACATTTCCTTTCTTTTTCCATGGATGTAACTGAGATGGGAGTTCTCACAAAGGCAACATAGTAGCAAAATAGCAAATGTGAAATAGTAGCACCAGGACCAAAACTAGAATACATTGCTGAGAATGAGATACAATATTTCAAAAATAAATTTGCACTTCCCACTGTAAAGTGTCAAAATCACTACTCTGTGCTTTTTCTTAATAACTCTAGTACAGGAGCTTTAAAAGTGGTCAAAGAAAATACATCAGTGAAAATATTTTCTCTGAAAAATCAGATCCTTTGAGAAGAATACCTTTTGAAGTCATGTCAATTCCATGAAAATGTTTTAAGAAAGCCATACAAATGTTCTGACAGCTTCAAAGCATTCGATTTTTATTTTTTTCAGTGTAAAACATTTTAATTTCTAAATCACTATGTTTCAATTTAAGTTAGCATAGCATACAGTGTAACATAAATTAAAAGGTGCCATCATTAAACATGTCCATCAGTTTCAATTTTCTTGCAGAAGAAATCTCAAAAATATTCATAAAAGTGACTTATCCTCTGAACAGCATATTCCTGGCAGTTAATGTTAAAAGAGACATTAAGAAAAAGAAAAAAGAAACAGCCAAGGAAACAAGAGGCAAAAGTGTCTGGTTCAGATAGCTTCTGAGAGGGTACTAAATTTCAAATAGAAGAAGTCCACAGAACCAGGCCCATGCCTAAAGTTAATCTTGTGTTTTATTCAGGCCGACATAAAGTCCAGTTTTCTACACAAAGATATAAAACACCAGAGAGAATAAATATGTTGGAAACTTGGTGAGATTAGGGCACCTGCCTCCCACAGGTCTCTTGACAAATCTTGCATTTCAAGATAGAGTATTAAAATAAAAAATAAATTATGCCAGAGCTCTCTTGGTGCTATTTCATATTCAGTGAAGGAACCTGAGCAGAATTAAATTTCTACTCAGCTACTTAGCACTGGGCTAAGTGTCAAGAAGCAACAATTCTTTTCCTCAGGCCAACCTGATAACAATGCCTTGCACTTCACCAGACATTTTGTT